CTGCTAGTAAATGAATGCAAGATGGTGTGGGTTGTTAAATATATCGTGGAAGTAGTGCCTTCTCCCTAACAGTACATGCACATATACTAGCCTAGCTAGCTTCGGTCAGGTGGTCTACAGATGCACCTTAGTCCATGAGCCTTTAAGAAATGTCTCATGATATCAGGAAAATACGTTGTGCTGATGGCATAACATAGTGATCATTGTCAAGCAGCAATGATAACTGTCCTACAAAAAGATAACATGGGGAAATGTAACATTTTCTTTCTAGACCGTGATACAGCATTTAATGGTTTATTAGCAATACGACTGGAAGATCCTGAAATATTGTCATGGTTGCTGTGTTTCCTCACTGAAAGAAGATCTGCTGAGGCCCGCTTTATAATCCATACTCGAATTATTAAATATGAATACATCCAATGCTATATTTTCTTCCTGCATGTAAATTGCCAATAAACATTTTCAACAAAACCCATTGTCTTGCCTCTGAGTTTTTACTGTCTCTGATTTGATTTAAATTTAGGGTTGTACGCCGCAAGTGTCGGCTTAAACATGCATACACCTGCTAACCACTATGGGTGGTTGTACACTAGCTGTGTAATCTCGGGCATGAGGCTGCAATTTATGCTCCAGGCCTTTACATAGGCCTATACAGGGCTTGAGGCTGTCATTGCCATTTTGTCTGAAGAAGCCGTGCTTAATACTAAGGCGGAGCAAACCTCTGTAGCACTGTGCACAGCTGTGGAATTGGGAGGAGTAGAAACCTCTATCCCTGGTTTCAGTTGTGATCCTGGTCATTTCCCTTTAGTACCAACTGTGGTCTTATTGCCATCATTGTATTTAGGTGGGTCAACTTGTGCTCATATCACATAGTCCATGTCCAAGACTACCACTTGGTGAAAACTTGCAAACGGTTTGGAATTCGAATAGACCAAAAGCTGCACTTTTAGGAAAAATTGCACCCTAATAAATTTGGACATGTAAGCCTGAGATGTGGCATTGTTTTTTGGGGTCCCCCCCCATTTTTTAATAGAAATGTAATTAACACACTGTCCTGAGGTGATGACACTCACAGTACTGTATGGAGGAGCAGCATTGTCGCCCAGGGCAGTTTACGCCTGATTTGAACTACAGGACACCCTCATTCCCTAACCTAGGGGGAAGTGTTGTAGTTCAGAAGTGAACTAGACAGGGTTGATAACACGGCTTGTGATTTTTAAGGCAGCAAGGGCAATGTGTTTTGAATCGGCAAACCTCTTGTCTTTTCTATGGTAAATGCCCATTATGAATATTATCCACATTTGCTTATAATTGTGCTGGGCATTCAGTGATCTTGCCCCTAAAAGCTATGCAATGCTAGTAAGGGATCCCCTACTTTAGGTGGAGGGCAATTTAGGAATTACCAGAAAAAAAACAATGCAAAAATTCTCTAAAGTATAAGTCAAGTCCTAACTGGAGCTTTGGAAAGTAGGCAATGGCATATCATATTGTGCACATTATGGCACACTTGCCTGTAGAGTACCCCTCTCTAGTGCTGACCTCAATTGACCAGGATGATGCATCACCTGCACATGTGCATGGGACCTTATTTAACCGAGAATCTTACTGGTGCCAGGAGCTTGCACTGAGCTGACCTTAAATAAAAGGAAAAATAGCCGCAGTAGCCGTGTTCTTGGTACCGCTTTTAACAGGATCATTTGTACCGTGCAGTCGCGCCCCCCTCCCCCCGCGCTGCGGCCGTCATTGTCTTCCCTGGCCACCGCTGTTCCCGCGCGGCGCCTGGGATCGGCTCGGCGGGTCTCCCCGCAATGATCGGGAGAGAGATTCAGAGGTTTCCAGCCACTGATCTCTCCTCCGATCACTGGACACGGAAGTGATGTGTATTACATCACTTCCGGTGTCACTGTACACAGTTCCCAGCCCTTAGAGCCAGGAGATGAAGCAGATCTCTGCTTCCTCGGCTTCTTTGGGGTCCCTAGGGGACATTAGGGGTCTGAAAGACCCTTGATGTTTCCATAAAGAGGACCTGTCACACCCTATCTGCTATTACATAGGGGGCTTGTTAGCCCCCTATGCAATAGGGTTAGTGTAAAAAAATAGTGTTTAAAAGTTATAAAAATGTAAGTATACATAAGATTTCTTGGTTCATATACTCTTTGGTGGCCTCTGCCCTTTAACCCATGCTTGCCTACCCAGTCTGTTCTGGTGGCTGCTGGTGTTACACGAGAAGCATTAGGTGAGTAAAATGTACTCTTCCCAATACTTAGACAGCTACTGGCTCTATATACCAAGCGCTGAACGATCGTGTAACTGCTGATGGCTCAGCTCAGTAGCCTGCTACATGCTGACTTTTGGGTCACAGGAGTACATTAGTAAATGCACTCCTGTGACCCAAAAGAGAAGTCAAGCCAAAAAGGTTTTGGTTTTTTTAAACATTCGATTTAATTGTGTTGACCAAATAACTGTCGTGTTGAACTTTTGTGTGTTGGGTCGCTGGACACTAGCCGAGCTATGGTTCAGGTAATCCGCAGGGCAATCTGCCAAGTGCTGGTCAGCGGAGCAACAGTGAAAGAAGGCTGGTATGTTGCGCTTGGTGTTAATTTACTCATGTATATCGTAAACTCTGTGATATTTTGATAGTCAGTGTTTATACCCGTAGTGAATACTGTATTGTGAATACTAATAAAAATTGGAAGTTTTTAAAACTTCCAATTTTTATTAGTATTCACAATACAGTATTCACTACAGGTATAAACACTGACTATCAAAATATCACAGAGTTTACGATATACATGAGTAAATTAACACCAAGCGCAACATACCAGCCTTTATTGATCAGTATCTATACACATTGTTGCAGCTGGTGACCAGGTATTTTTCTCTCCTAGCGCAACTAAATTGCATAAACAGTGAAAGAAGGCTTGGTTTTTTGACAAGCATTTGTGGGAGGCTGTTTTTTTTTCTCTTTGCACTGGACAATATAATTAAGTAGGCGATGGAGAATGGCGCAGGCCGACACATTCCTATGCTGCATCAAAACATTCTTTTTTTTCCACCAAGTCAGGGTGCACTTCCATATTAAATGTTTGGCAACACAAAAGATCAAAACTTGGGGCTCTATATGGGAGGTCCGACTCCATCAGAAGTGGGAGTATGCCTGATGGGTTTTGCAGAGATTTGGGAAGAAAACATGTACAGGTGGGTAGCATGCAACTAGTTCAATGTTTATATTCAAATCTGTTTCAGTTTCTGAAATCCAAAGGAGGAATTTATTTTGCAATTGAAGGCTCCCAATACCTTTGAAAAGATTCCACTCAAAACTTTTCAGGACAGTCAGTTATTGCCGCCTTTTATCCCAGAGACATCTTAGCAGCCATCAATATAAAGGATGCAGACTTACATTCCCATCTTTACAGATCAGATCATATCATCAGTGAATATTCGCTTTGCTGTTGACAATGATCAGTTTGTGGCCCGAAAAAACACGTACAGCGCCTACAATTCTACAGAATGCTATAAAGTGCAATATTCCAAAGAAAAGACGTAATCATAAATTCTTGTGTTCAAACCTTCCAATAAAATGCATATTAGGGTTAGGTTACCATAGGAACTGTAAATAGAAATACTTATTAAAAGGAATAAAGTACACTAGTCTGTACCCCCTGCTGAAGTCAAGTGACAACGCATAGGGTGGAGCTAGTGACGTCAGTACGCCCAGGTGAAGCTGGTTCAGCAAGAGGAAGGACAAGTTTCTGGCTAATCACCTTAAAGCTGGCCGTACACCTATAGATGATCAGATTTTCTATGGTCAGATGGAAAAAGTGCAACAAATTAATTCCTCCATCTACGCTAAACTGTGTGGATGGAGGAATCTCCCACTGGGCTTGCTAGAGCACTGCTGGCTCTCAAAACACCTGAACATTGCCTGTGTCCAATCAGATTGTTCAGGCATTTTGACATCCAGCAGGAGCCAGTATCAGCAGCATTTTGCTTTCCACCTGCTTGCCCACAACCCTAATCTGATGCAGCAGCCTGGAGAATACCTTTTAGGCCTGGTTCACCCCTGAGCAATTTTGTGTGCAGATCTAGGCGCACGAAAACATGCAATTCCATTCAAGCCAATGGCAACTGTTCACACCTTAGCGTTGCATCGCGTGTTGAAAAGATGCAGGAACTACTTTGAGGCGGATCCCGTGCACTTTCGCTCCCATAGACTTGTAATGAAATTGCGCGTGTCCATGTGTATGCGTGTTATTAGCAATAACCACGCAGTGTACACAGCATGCATAGAGGCCCTCCCCCTGCCTGGAAGGCCCAGAGGCACTGTGGCAGCTAACGTGTCTTTCCTCTCCCTTGTATGTCTTGTAACTGCGTTTTCTCCTCTCCGCTGCTCTTGTTGGATAAGGCTCTCAGTTTCCGTCACCTGCTCTTTGACACATACCAGATCTTGTATCTTCTGTATCCCCCACACTTGCAAACACTGGTATATAGCTTCATCATTTAAGAGCTCCAAATACTGATATTTTCTCGATCACCATTTTTTTCCCCCTCTGCATTCCCACTAAGGTCTTCATGTGCCCCCCGAGTCACTCAGCCTTTCTCACCTCTGTTTATTTTGTTCCCATTGCCTCCTATTAGGTTGAAAATAAAGCTGTTGCTTAGATGACCCCAGCAGTTCACATTTACTATCTGGAAATCAGACGGGTTAGAGGAATACCGTTTATACCAGGCCTATGCAGCAGGAGGCAGGAATGAAACTAGTTTTAAAATAAAATGAAGCTTTAATGCATGTCTGAGCAAACATCTCCATAAACCAAAGTCTGCCGCCATTAAGGTGTGGTAGATGCAGAAGGATGGAAGAAGTGTCACCTTTTCTTATGAAGCCTTTCAGTGCATTAAACACACCAATTAATTCTGTAATACAGCAGAAAATATTTTGAAAGTCCACAACAGTTGGCTTGGCTGCAGCGTAATATTTATTACACGTCTAGAAATGTCCTTGGCAGTCCACGGCTCTGGTTACTGGTCTGAATCACTTTTTTGGCTGTCTCTGAAATTTGGATCCTTGGGGCTACCTTCATACATGACCTGTTTTCTAAGGCCTTCTTGTACCATTCTCTGCTGTATCCTGAGTCTTGCATGGTTGTATCTGCAGTACATCCTAAAATGAGAGAACAGTATTAGCAAAGAAGCTGCACTCACAAGGATATTGCAGAAGAGTTTTCAAGGTCCTGTGTCAATGGGCTTTTGCTCAGGTCAAATGGTTTTTGCATTCCCATACAAGTCTCTGGAGATGTGAAACATACAAAGCATATCAAATGCACCGGTCGATGATTTCTCAATGATATACGAATGATCTTAATCTGATGTAATCAACACAGGCCCTTAGGGTAACACTACAATGAATGTGACTCAGTCGTACAGTCATCACTGTTGGCACCTGCAGCAGTAAAAACTTGACACAGACTGCAGGCCTAAAGCGAAAAAAAAAAGGAGAATTAAAAAAGAAAAAACGGTCCACTGGAGCTGTTAGAAATAAGCTTTTATGACGGTAGAGACGTTCACAGGCTTGTCTTATACTTTGACCTTTGTCATTTTTAAATGTTATTTTACAGCTGGAAAAAGCTGGCGCATACAACGGTTCGGGCAGCTACAGAGCCACCCAAACGCTTGTATGGTGCTGGCTGGGGAGTTTGTACCCCTCCGCTGCCTGCTATCCCAGGCCCACTGTCCCCCGTTTGGGCCTGCGATCGGTACAGCAGCAGGTGTGTGCACCTCAATCAGAGGGAGAGCAGCATACTCCCAGTGGCTGATCTCCCCTCCGATTCCTAAAACGGGAATTGACGTGCATTACATCGCTTCCGGGTTCACACTGTCATTTCTCTGGCTGCTGTGGCCGGGGAAGAATCTATCTGAAGTGAAAATGTACACTTTAACTGAAGATTCTCAACTCCATTAGAAAATCAGCCTCAATATGTCCATTAAAAGTATGATATAAAGGAGTATGGATTTGGCCTCTTGTATAGGAGAGTAGGGACTGGCTAGACAGGGATCACTTGAAAGCAACTGGACAGCTTGAACATGTATTGCAATACATGTGAACTAAAAATCAGTTTTTATGCAATCGTTTGCTAGAAATATTATTATTAGACAGGATTTATATAGCGCCAACAGTTTGCACAGCGCTTTACAATATAAGGAAGACATTACAGTCACAATACAATTCAAGACAAGAAGGTAAGGAGGGCCCTGCCCCTGAGGGCTTACAATCTAAAAGGGTGCCTCCATCTTCAGCTTGTCTATTGGAGACTGAATCATCATCTCTATCTATCTATTTAGCAAGGACAAGCCCTAAAAACCATCAAATCTGACCGAGGAAGTAGCAGAATGATCTACCTGGCTGTGCATTGTGGATAAGGTATATAAAATCGGGACACTGACTGAACAGTAAATATATAGGCGTTTCAAAGGTGTATGCAAGGGTTTGCCTGGAGTCCTCTTAATAATTCTTGTGCAAATCAGCTAAAAGTGTATTTCCACTTTTGCAGTCAAATCTGAGAAAACCCCTCCATATGTTTATGTGTTCCCATTCAGACAGCATACTGGAAAAAATTTTTAGAAGAAAAATGTAAACAGCACTTTGTAAATATTAACATATTACCTTACCTACATCCAGGCTGCAGCACCTCTCCTTGGCGGCCAATGGAGGGGAGGGGTCACAGGAGAGGGTCCTCACTCATGCTGACCCACATACCAGGATGTGGCTGTGGGTGCCTGCAGAGACTGGTATAGGCTCCGCCCCCATGACTGGTATAGGCTCCGCCCCAATGACGGGTATAGGCTCCGCCCCCGCCAGGCTAACAGTGATGTGATCACTGTCAATGACAGGCAGCCGCCTGTTGTATTCACAGCACACACGCCGGAACATACAGCTGTCCCTCCTCCAGCTCCGTGTCACAGACTTTACTGCAGTTCACTGTACAAAAGTTTTTACAATGAACCGCATTAAAGTCTTTAACACGGAGCTGGAGGAGGGACAGCTGTCAGCACACACTGCGGGGGTGCCCCCCCCCTGGATCCGCCACTGCTCTGTGCACTGTGCTCTGACTAATGATGGGCAGTATGGTGACAAAATCAGGCGGGGAACAGAAGATCCTTTCAGTCCGGCAGGCGGGTGAGCGATTCTCCTCCTTCGGTCCTGCGTGCTGCAGGTAAAGAATCCGCCAAGCAGGACCTCGAGCAGACCGTCGAGGGCCTCCTCAGTGCGGCTCCGCGCACGAACGTCAACTGGTCACGTCAGGGAGGTGGGTGGGACTTCAATCTGACAGCCGGCTCGAGCAAGCTCTCAAATGCAAAAAAATTAGTTTGCGTGCCAGCCGATGTGGCCTCGCGTGCCAAGCCGGCCACGCGTGCCGGGGGTTGCCGACCCCTGTGCTATGTGAATGGGAACAAGTAACACATATAAAGTGGATGTTATCCCAATTTGTATAAAGGCTGAGAGTGAACTTAAATCCTTTGTCAGCTCCGGCCTCATTACCTTCTAGTGGGTTTCGGGGGCTATGTTATGTCTGCGAGGCACAACCAAATTGGAACACATTGGATCTGATACTAAAGACAGAGCAGTGATGGTCACAGTTCTAACTAAACAGACGATCCAATTCAGAAGACCTCCACCGATCGATCAGCAATGGCTCAGTGTGTGCCGAGAGACAAAAATAGCATTATGAAATCTTTTTCTAAAACTTGGCTGGGTTTGGAAAGGAAGGTCTGACGTGATGCTTGTAACAAGATACAGTGAATAACCTCCATTTACCATGCGGTGAGACCCAAAACCATCCATTTCAGACATTTCTTATACATATACACAAGTGATCGTGTTTCTCACGGTGACATACTGTCATTTGTAATACAAGTTGTACTTCATGCCCTAAAAGAATTGGTTCTTCTGTTTCTCAGTAAACATTTAGAGGAATAATCTTACCAGAAACTAAGAGTGGTGAGAAGAAATCCTCCAACAGCCAAATCACACGACCGCTTCACCCGACCTGTAGGAGAGGAGAATATAGTTGTAAGGTTTGTACAAACCGACATCGGAGAAGGGGGATATCAGAGGGCGGTCTTGGAGCTGTCAAAGCTTCTCCTGGTATCCTCCAGGCAACCCATAGAACCACCAATGATATTCAGACTTTCATTATCCATCCTAATCTTTACATTGACTGGTGCCAGCGGAAAAATATTTGTAAGTGGCCAAATCAATGTGGATGCCAAAGTGGGATCCTTAACAGTTGTTGAATCCAAAGATATATGGGAAAATGTATGCGATACAGCAGGGGTAGCCAAACTCCGGCCCTCCAGCTGTGGTGAAACAACAAATCCCATGAAGCATCTCTCTCCCGGAGTCATGTCTGTGGCTGTGAGAATCTTGCAAAGCCTCATGGGATTTGTAGTTCCACCACAGCTGGAGGGCCATCCCTGCGATACCGTATATGAGAGCGATATTAGGACTTACTGGGGCTTTCAGTGACCATAAAATGCACAAGGCTGGAGGCCGAGTCACAGAATTCCAACAAGATGAACAAGAAATTTTTTTTCCCAGTGGGCAGACTTGCCTTCACTTCCTGTCCTGTATACATAATGGAAGATTGTCACCTATGGCAGGGAGATCTCTCCATTAAAGGAGAACTATGAGGTGAGTGCTCTTCACTCACCTCATAGTTCTAGCCGACCTGTGACAATGAGACCGTCACAGGTCGGCTCAGTAGATCGGGAGGTGAGCGAACACATACCGGCGTTCGCTCACCTCTCGATCCTGTCACAGCTCTCTGCCGTGACAGGGGAGGGGCTAGATTCCCCCCTCCCTGCTCCGATCCGCCAGCGCTGACTTGTTTCCTCTCGTTACCCTAAGGAGAACTTTGGGGAAAAGCACTGACCCCATAGTTCTCCTTTAAGAGTTCCCAGGACACATAAGTCAGAGGCCTCACCTTTCACTAAAATGTAACTGTCAGATGGTCTGACCCTTTAAATTATGATACAAATATATACACTTAAGTAAAAATATCGTCACTTACTTGTTGCAAGAAAATTTCCAACTCCAACCACCAACGATCCCACTGACCCATACAATAAAGACTCGCGTGCACATGGTGTGTTTTTCACATCAAGGAGCCACAACAACTTGAATGACTACATAGAAAAATACAACAGACAATGATAGTTACAAAACACTGGAGTTGCCCAAAGCAAAAGGATGTTTGCTTCCATTTAGAATCATTTCTTAAAATGTCATTGGTTGCAGTGTGTAACATTGCCATGTCAATAATGCCCTGCTGTGACACAGACATTCCCCGCATATGGATAGAATCCTCCACAGATCAATAATTTCCCCCATGCAGGGGGAATCATCTGAGGGTCACCATATAGGAATAGAATGGCTGGGTGGTGTCCTTGCTATCCTGAGTGGACGTTTAGAGATGTCCTTTTTGTTTACCTTTGTTTGTACCCAGCAATGACCACCAGTGTTGCAGGATTGTTTTGGGAAGGGAGTCGTTTAATGTGCCACTGACCACCAATAATTGGGGGGGGGGGGCAGGGTTTTTTTTTTAATGTCACTGATCGCCAATTATTGTGGAGTTGTTTAATGGGTGTAAAGCTTAAGCTGATTATTTGGGGTGGGGGATAGATACAGCACCAAACACATTATGTGTATATAGCGTGTATCCCCTTAGATTCAGCTGCTGCTTCTTATAAAAATCTTCCCTTCGGTGTCACTGTGAGAAGCTGCAAGGAGAGAAGCTGCTGTGTAAAGTTGCACCGTTAGTCCCACCCTCTGCTCTCCCCTCCATTCACAGATCTTCTCCTATTATAATCCCACAATATATCAAGTTCTGTGCATGAAGAAGTAGAGTCTGTCATTCAACAACCCTCTCCTCCATTCACAGAACTCAGTGTATTGTGGGATTATAGTAGGAGAAGGTCTGTAAATGGAGGAGTAGAGTCTGTCATTCAACAACCCTCTCCTCCATTCACAGAACTCAGTGTATTGTGGGATTATAGTAGGAGAAGGCCTGTGAACGGAGGAGTAGAGTCTGTCATTCAACAACCCTCTCCTCCATTCACAGAACTCAGTGTATTGTGGGATTATAGTAGGAGAAGGTCTGTGAATGGAGGAGTAGAGTCTGTCATTCAACAACCCTCTCCTCCATTCACAGAACTCAGTGTATTGTGGGATTATAGTAGGAGAAGGTCTGTGAATGGAGGAGTAGAGTCTGTCATTCAACAACCCTCTCCTCCATTCACAGAACTCAGTGTATTGTGGGATTATAGTAGGAGAAGGCCTGTGAACGGAGGAGTAGAGTCTGTCATTCAACAACCCTCTCCTCCATTCACAGAACTCAGTGTATTGTGGGATTATAGTAGGAGAAGGTCTGTAAATGGAGGAGTAGAGTCTGTCATTCAACAACCCTCTCCTCCATTCACAGAACTCAGTGTATTGTGGGATTATAGTAGGAGAAGGCCTGTGAACGGAGGAGTAGAGTCTGTCATTCAACAACCCTCTCCTCCATTCACAGAACTCAGTGTATTGTGGGATTATAGTAGGAGAAGGCCTGTGAACGGAGGAGTAGAGTCTGTCATTCAACAACCCTCTCCTCCATTCACAGAACTCAGTGTATTGTGGGATTATAGTAGGAGAAGGTCTGTGAATGGAGGAGTAGAGTCTGTCATTCAACAACCCTCTCCTCCATTCACAGAACTCAGTGTATTGTGGGATTATAGTAGGAGAAGGCCTGTGAACGGAGGAGTAGAGTCTGTCATTCAACAACCCTCTCCTCCATTCACAGAACTCAGTGTATTGTGGGATTATAGTAGGAGATGTCCTGTGAACGGAGGAGTAGAGTCTGTCATTCAACAACCCTCTCCTCCATTCACAGAACTCAGTGTATTGTGGGATTATAGTAGGAGAAGGCCTGTGAACGGAGGAGTAGAGTCTGTCATTCAACAACCCTCTCCTCCATTCACAGAACTCAGTGTATTGTGGGATTATAGTAGGAGATGTTCTGTGAATGGAGGAGTAGAGTCTGTCATTCAACAAACCTCTCCTCCATTCACAGATCTTCTCTTACTGTGATCCCCCACCATCGAGTTCTGTTAATGGAGGAGAGAGCAGAGGGGGCGGGGTAAGCGGTAGAACTTTACACAGCGTGCTGTGAGGAGGAGTCTGTTAGCAGCTGTGAGGGGAGATGTTTAGAAGAAGCAGCTGAAGCTGTGGGGATACACACCATATACCCATATCTAATGTGTACAAAACATTAAACTTCAGCACTAAGGACATATTAATGATTACAGAGCTGCATTCATCTGCCCGGAGTTCATCTCAAGGCTCCATTCACATCTCTGTGATACGACATCATAGGTATGTTGCGGTAGGGCAGCCTATTTTTGTCACCATTCGCTGTGATATAATGCAGCATCCATACGATAGCTTGGTGCATCAGGGTGTCATTAAAGGAGAACTATGAGGTGGGTGATTTCCACTCATCCTCATAGTCAGAGCCGACCTGTGACAAAGAAGCTGTCACAGGTCGGCTCTATCGATCGGGAAGTGAGCAGAAACATGCCGCCGATACGCACACTTCCTGATTGGCTCCCTGCCGGGGTTCCCCCCTTCCCGCTCCGATCCTCCAGCGCTGAGTGGAGGAATGGACGGGGGAGGGGGTGGGCACAGCTGGCTCTGTCTCTAGATAGGCAGAGCCAGCTGTCACTCACGTAGCTGGGTGGATCCAGACAGTATTGTAGGGATCCGTCCCGGCTGAAGTGCTCTGCTCTCAGTATATCGCGGGAAATAGCCCGCTATATACTGAGCTTTGGGTCACGGGAAGAGGTTAGTATATGTCCTTCCGTGACCCTAAAGAGAACTATGGGGAAAAACACTTAACCCATACTTCTCTCTTAAGAAATAAAGGCACCATAGTGCACCTGACAGTATTACATGCGAACTTGGACGATGCAGGCACACACATGCTCCCTCATGGCAGAGGGGAGAGGACTAGACTTGTATGTGTAGCTGTTTGAGAATCATCAGTCAGCCATGTCACCAGAGAAGACACTGATGGTCCTGGTGCCCTCCAAGATCAGGGAGCAATGGAAGCCTAAATCTGACTGCTTACTATATACATCTCTCAACTGTAGTGCACAAGATGAACAGGCCGGTGTACTGCTCATACACAACACTCACCACAGATGGCCGACCTATTGAGCTCCAGGCGATATAGCACGGTGAACGCAGCATGGTCTGACTACATATAACATTAATGCATTCACGGAGATTCTGCTATTCAAAAAATAAAGCACATGAACTACAAGTGCAAATATATATAAATTATTCTGTAGAAGTGCTACTGTACTATACCTTGTCTTTGGATGTCTCATCTCCCGTGTCCGCCATGTTGGTTGGCAACAACCTTCAGACTTCCACCGAGTCCGCCCGCCACAGACCATAGAGATCGACGGAAGGCTAGAGCGGCTGAACGCAATGATTTGTGGGAAGCGCTGTGACTGGCTGGCGCTGTGGCGTACAGCCCCGCTCTGCGTTACATGGGCAATATATTATATATTGTTTCCTGTGACCCTTCCTAATAATGGCCTCGTAGGGTTCTTCTTCCTTTTTACAATAAACTTGTTATTTTTCACGGCTTGGAGGACATTTTGTGAAAGCAAGGGAATTCACAACATAGTCTGTAATTTAAGGGCATGGCTCACCTTTTGGGAAAGTCGGTTTGCTGTGAGCCTGCTGCCCGCCAGGGCTTTGCTGGTTTCTAAGAGCCGGAGGGGCAGATGTGTAAGGGCCACACTCATCTCCCCGCCCAGCTTTTAGCAACCTGGGACGCTCTGGCCGGCATCCCATAAAGCTCCCGGAAACCATTGACTTCAGAATTATTTTGGTAAAATATTGATGATGAGGCTATGACGAGTTGATAGATACTAAATGTATGAACCCCGAAAATTGTACACGCCTGTGAGGCAGCCTAAAATTATCCATAAGTATACAAAATTGTCCATAGAAGATGCTTCAAAAGCCTTTACAGGTCATCAATTTAGAGTTAACAGTTAAAAATGGCCCCAGAATGATTGCTTCACTCAATTGTTAACCACCATGGCAGGGATCCCAACCTGAAAGAAGCAATTTCAAGGAGGTGCCCTTCTCATTTCAGGGAGGGAGGAGGGAGCACCTACCTGAAATGATGGCAGATAGCAGAGGAAGCAATAGCTTCTTTGCTATCTGCAGGTTTGTTTTATTTAGTATTCTGACAGCTGCTGCCGTCAGAATAAAAAAATAATAAAAAAAAAAAAACCAGCATAGGAATGCATAGCTAGATTCCTATTGGCTATTTAACTTTGCAATAGCCAATAGCATGCTGGCTATTGCAAACCCGTGATGTCAGAGAAAAAAAAAAACAGCAGGGAAAAGTTTACTTTTCTCTCATAAGTATACAAAATTGTCCATAGAAGATGCTTCAAAAGCCTTTACAGGTCATCAATTTAGAGTTAACAGTTAAAAATGGCCCCAGAATGATTGCTTCACTCAATTGTTAACCACCATGGCAGGGATCCCAACCTGAAAGAAGCAATTTCAAGGAGGTGCCCTTCTCATTTCAGGGAGGGAGGAGGGAGCACCTACCTGAAATGATGGCAGATAGCAGAGGAAGCAATAGCTTCTTTGCTATCTGCAGGTTTGTTTTATTTAGTATTCTGACAGCTGCTGCCGTCAGAATAAAAAAATAATAAAAAAAAAAAAACCAGCATAGGAATGCATAGCTAGATTCCTATTGGCTATTTAACTTTGCAATAGCCAATAGCATGCTGGCTATTGCACCCACCCTCTGCTGCTGTCAATCACTAGAAGAGGACCTGATGGAGAACTTCAGGTCCCCCTCTGCTGATTGACAGCAGCAGAGGGTGGGTGCAATAGCTAGTTTGCTACTGGCTATTGCAAACCCGTGATGTCAGAGAAAAAAAAAAACAGCAGGGAAAGGTTTACTTTGCTCGATCGAGCAGAGTAAACCTTTCCGGGAGAAACTGTTTCTCTCCTGGGCGGCCGCTATCTAATAGCGGGAGACTCCCGGAGCTTTGGTGTTTGGGTGTGGGTGTTCTATTCTTTTTTTCTTTGTAACATCACTTTATTGCTATCAAAAGAGGGCTGATAGCATAGTGCTGGCGACAGGCCCACTTTAGAGGGGACATCAGGGGTCTTTTAGACCCTGCTGAAGCTGATCCAGCACAGACTATTCAATTATCATTATACAGGATTTATATGGCGCCAACAGTTTGCGCAGCGCTTTACAATATAAGGAAGACATTACACTTACAATACAACTCAAGACAAGATGGTAAGGAGGGCCCTGCCCGTGAGGGATTACAAGGTGTCAGCTGATTCCCACCCAAAGTCATCGGGGTTTGATAGCTCTGAAGTGCTTCTGGGCCTATACTACCCAGAGGAGATCACTGAACAACTAATGGTCTGCTGGTCTCCCACCACTCTCCATCCTCACACTCACCATGAACGTCCTGGGAATCTAGAAGAGACAGATGGAGAATCACTTGTACAAGAAAGCCAGCAGAAGAATGGAGACAAACTCTCTGGTGCATGGATGTGCGGTCAGGGGAGGCAGAGCCTCACCTAGTATTACGGAGGAAAAAGCTGTCAGCTTTAAGTCTGATCTGAAGCTGACAGCTTTTTCTCCATTCAGATCGGCATCTAACAGGTTACAGAGCATGGAAAGCCTCCCCGCTGTGTAACCTGTCATGGACGGAGCGTTGCCTGTTAATTACAGGCAGCGCTGCATCTGGCTTTTGACAGGTAGTTAGGTTACACAGCAGCGGGCTTCCCCCACTGCTTGTGTAACCTACCTATTGAGGCAAGAGCTGTCACAGCCTCTACTCTTTGTTAGAGGCGTGAGCTCTGTGGATGGCTTGGACTAATGGCAAAGCACCAATAAAAAAAAAAAAACAAACCCTGAGGACATCGATCTCGATGCCTAAGCAGTGAGGGGCAGTGAGGGACAGGGAGGCTCCTCCCGGTCTCCTCCCTCCTTCGCACTAGGTTGAGGGCGGGGCTTCGGTGGGCAGGACATGCTGGGGAATGCCTCACCCGGAACCAGAGGTACCGCACGTCACTGCTCGGCTGCGAGTGCGTTTACGTGTCGGTACCGCCACTGTAATAGGGCAGTGCCAGAGAAGGTGTTAAAGCAGTAGTGTGCAAACTCCATGCCTCCAGCTGTGGCAAAACTACAAATCCTATCATGCATGTCTCTGGGAGTCATGCCTGTGGCTGTAAAATTCTTGCAATGTCTCATGGGATTTGTAGTTCCGCAGCTGTCGGGCCATTGTTTTCCCACCCCTGTGCTAAAGGCATGATTTCCGTGTGTGTATAGCACAGTGCAATGCACAGCATGCTAGGTGTGCTGGCGCATTGCCTTTTATTCTGAATGGCACCTCAATGCACCAAATGTTAGTTGCCTGACTGGTATGTTGATGCATTGACTTCAAAAGTCACTAAAGGCTGCTTCACACTATAGAGTTGCGCATTCCAAATGGCACCCCAACGCACCTCCCGGAGGGCCCACATTGTGCTGCAATGCACAGTACAATAGTGTACATTGCAGTGTGGCAAAAATAAATAGTGCATGCATTTTTTTCACAATGCATACCCTCTGGGAGGTGCATTGAGGTGCCATTCAGAATGCACAACTCTATAGGGTAAGCAGCCTTTAAGGACTTTGGAAGCCAGTGTGTCAGCATAACAACCAGGCAACTCACATTCACAGGAGGTCAGCAAAGGCAGGAGGGTTGGTACTTACCCAATACCTACAACCACTATACAGTTATTTAATTTTTAAACAAACTGTCGTGGTTTTCAGGTGTCGTGGCTGCCATTTTCGTGATGTCCCTGTCTTTGGCATCAATTAACCTCTTTTTGGTGGCCATTGTGTATTTCTTGTGATAGTGCACAAGTGTCCACTTTCTGGAAGTCCCATAAGAAGTAGCTAGAGGCTGCTAGACTCTAATCTTTTATCCGTCAGAAAGACTTGGTGGATTTAAAATCACAAAACGGGGCGCCCATGTAAGGGGTCTCCCCGAATTGAGAACAAATGTCAAATCAGAAAGAGGAGCACCACACCATCAGCTATAGAGTCCACAAACACTTATTGCGAATAATGTTCTGACAACATGGAGACAAGCAGTAGCCAATGTCTTTCAGGGGCCTATTCATCAAGGCTTAAACAAGAATAGGATTTTTGTACTCGCCGTAAAATCCTTTTCTTTACGTTCATTGAAGGACTCAGTGGAGGTCTTCAGATCTTGACCAGTTGGGTTATAGTGCCAACTTCAGGACAACATCTGAAGATCACCACTGTGTCCTTCAATGAATGAAAAAAGAAAATAGGATTTTTGTACTCAATGTAAATTCCTTTTCTCTGCATTTATTGAAGGACACACTGGAGGATCTTCAGATCTTGAACAGTTGGGTTATAGTTAGGGATGCACCTATATCGGCCGAAAATTGCACTTTTGGCTGAATGCCAAAAGTGCCATTTTCCTGCCGATACATCAGCGCACCTGTTTCCCAGCGGGGAGTAGAGAAAGTGACAGCCGGCCGAGCGCTGCGTGAGGAGAGTGCCGTGAGCGGCCGGTGTCTCTCCTCCCACACCGCTCAGCCACCAATCACAGTGCGGCAGAGCAGTGTGGGGGCAGAGACATCGCTGTCACAGGAGGCTTAGCTCTCCTCCCTGCACCGCTCACTCAGCCTCCTGTGACAGCGTGTCAGGGAGGAGATCGGTACAAGCAGTCAGTGATTGCTGAGTGTTTGTAGATAATTGAGGATATGGTATGGTTACTATAGCCTCAATTATGAATGAATGGGAAGTGATCTATATCCCCTCCTGTTCATTCATAATTGTGGTTATAGTAATCATACTATATTCTCAAGTTATCAATGAACAGGAACACTCCGTATAGATTATTCCTGTTCATTGATAACAGGGGATACAGAATAAGAGATTGAGGACTCTGTGTTCTCAATCTCTTTTTTAAAAGGGAAATATCAGGGGTCTGTTTAGACCCCTAATAATTCCCAAAGCCTCTAAAAGAGAAGTAAAAAATGAAAATATTTAATTTAAAAAATGAATGTAAAAGTCTATTTATAAAAAAAAAAAAAATTCAAAATAAAAAAACATTTTCGGTATTGGCCTGACAATTTTTTTTATTGCGGTTTCATTTTGGTTTTTAAATTTCTATTTCGGTGCACCTCTAGTTATAGTGCCAACAAAAGGCACATAAAAGCTCCTGATTTAATCATTCAGATTTATGGCTCCTAATGTCTCCTTTCTGCCTCCCGCCTTCTAACATTGGACTTTGAATCAGCCTCATCATATCTGTCCAATGAGTAGGAAGCTAATGCAGAGAACAGCAATGGTAAACAGCAGTGTGATCATCCTGACTTCC